ATTCTCCCTGCCCTGAGATACCATCCTGTTCAAGTTTCCTTTCTTGTCCCAATCACTTGGAACATCCCTTCCTGTTTGTGTCACCATTGACAGCCATTCCAAACTTTGGTTAGGCTTTTTATCCAGATATTGGCAGTAAAGTTGTTTATCTCCTCCACACTCTTCCCTATAAACTTCAGTCATGACCCAGGAACAGGCAGCAGCAGTAGCTAACAATGGCTGATAATTAAATCAGCCAATTGACCCCTCCCTCTTTTCTGGAAAAACTACTTGAAAGACTGAACTGACATTTATCTGAATTAATTGATCAGCTATGAGAGAGAGAGAGATCTTGCCAGCAAATGGAGTCTGAAGTGTAGTATAACACCAAACACTACAATTTTCAAATCACTTTTACATACATAATTTTATTTAATTTATAGAATTATGATAGAGTTATACTCCCAAAGCTATCATGACTAGAAATGGCCCAAGTCATCATCTCCTTCAGTTTTGTTATTTCTAGCATAATGATGGTAGTAATGACACAGAAGTGCTGATATGAATTATCTTATCCCAATTAATATTATTTTTAAATTAACTTTAAAATTGACTTTGACCAGCCAGTGTTTCTTCTACTCCGTAATATTGTAACCTGTGTCAATCACCGAGATACATAATATTCTGCTCTATCTGGGGGTGAATATTGTTTAAATTAAATATGGAAAGAAAAATGTAAATTAGAAAAATTTAAATACGAAGATGCGCTGGCATTGGCAGTTGTCACCCATGTGTTACGTTGGCAGTTGTCACCCAAGTGTTATCTTCTATCTGGAGACATGGAAAAGGCACAGACCTTGTATCATATTCTGCAAACTCTGATACAAAGCTTGACATGTGCTAAAATGTCAGCTCTACCAACGTCACTCACTAGTTCTTCCTTGGAAGTGTATTCTGTTCAGTTTTCAGAAGTGTCTTTCCAGATCCAGCTCTGAAAGTTCCAGAAGTTATTCAGAAGAAAAGATAGCTATTAACTTTCCCCAGTCATTTATTACATGTTTTGTGCAGTATTTTCAGAAGAGTACAGGTAGTTAGATACTAACAAGAATTTGGGGCTTTTAAGACAGAGTCTCACTATTTAGTGTTGATTGTCCTGGAACTCACTATATAAACTAGACTGGCCCTGAACTAGTAATTGTTGGGATTAAAGGTGTGTGCCACTATGCCTTCCCATATGTGATCTTTTAGCAAATGTTTAGACCACCACTCTTTCCATGAAAGAGGAAAGAAACCATAGCCAGCAACAAGCCCCAGGTTAAACATTGAAATGTTGGAGGTATGAGTTGAGAATATGGTTATAGGGCAGCATCTGTACTCTGGACTGCTCTAAGCTTATTGGAGGAAGCTCAGAGTGGGCTTCAAAATTCAAACAATTTCAATGAAACTAGTATTGCTTGAATTGTGGACATTAATGTATTAAGAAGGTATTGGTATCCCCAGATTGTTCCTACCTTGGAAGTGATCTAAACTCTTACATTATGGGTGAATTAGTTCACGTCTAAGGGTTTAAGTGTTGAAGAATATCACCTGGATAATTCAATTACAAACAGGTACTTCTCCTATACAGTGTTTAAAACACTAACATACTTGCCTATTTAGCTGCTGTTCATGAACTGTCCTAGAACCATCTGCTCATGCATACACACATATGATCACACACACATATGCTTGAATACACACACACCACATTAAAAGGATTTCAAAGATGTTCATAAAGATCACTGCTTCATAAGACCTGGCTTGGTACAAAGCAGCGGTTCAGTAAATAATATGGAAAAAGATACCTATATATTATTTTACTTAGAGGTAATAAAGATTAGCTTATATGAAGGTTACTTTATATTTGCTTTTAGTAAAATCATAAAGTCAAATATTTTTGCATGAAAAGATGAACATTTGTTCATTTACTCATTTAAAAAATACCAAGTATTAAAGTTAAAATAAAAATGGATATTAAAGCAGATTTCACGTTGTTTGCTTGAGCCCAAATGAGGTTTACAATCTTTATTTGTTTTGTACTCTATGTACGTAGAATCTGCAAAATAATCCACAGCATCCTTGGGAAACATTTTCTTCCCTTTTGTTGTATGAACCTGAGCCTGAGTAGACATCACATCGCACATGGAAAACTAACTCTGGTGCCATTGGACTTCCCTGCCACAGTCATTATGAAAGGCCTCCAGGTGCTCGGCTCTCAACCTCTGTCAGGCAGGAAATTGTTCAGGTCTTTTTGACAGATTTAGAAACAGAGAACCAATAAATCCATCTGCAACTTCAAAGACTTACCTGTCAGTGGCAGACTGACAAGTCTCTGTTTTGTTTTGCTTTACTTTGCATTATCCTGAGGCACTGATGGCTGCTAATAATTGGGACATAGAAATAATCAAAGAAGAGACACGAACAGCATTATATATTAGAGGAACCCATCAGATGGCCCTGAGCATCATTTTTCTCATCTCTGGTGACATGCGTAGGTTTACACAATATGTTGTTTTCAAATACACCTGTCAGAAAATATCAGACCAAATTGATATTAGTTAGCATTCCGATGGTCACTTATTCCACCAAAGGAAAATAGGAACAACATAGTAAAAGAGCAAAATCCTGGCAAAAACAAAAGCAAAAAACAAAAGACAAAAGCAAAAACATGACTTTTAACACATGGTTATTTCTCAGAATTATATTATTGTATATGAACTACCTATGAAATTTAGAATAATCAGTTATGAGATGAAGTTAGTAGTGATTTTTTATTTCAGGGAACTATTGTTTTATTTGTGATTACAAGTTTTTCCAAACATAATCATGAAAGAAAAAGACTGGAAGGGGAGGAAGGGAAGTAGGGAGAGAGAAAAGACTGGGCCCTCTAAAGTTCTTTGCTGTGACACATTCGGATAACTATTCTGTATTTTCTTTGGTATCTCATTTGGGTTATAGAGATAGTTTGTTTTATGATTGTGTTTTGGAACACCATGTTCCCACCACATTCATGACATGAAATATCTAGATAAAAACACTTGTTTTTTGGCTTATAGGCTATACAGTTATAAAAAAAATCTTGTTCAATTCTTGAGAATCCCTCAACAACTTAGATTTCTTCTTTAAAAATCTGGGAAATAAGGCTGGAGATATGGCTCAGTTTTTGAGAACATTGGCTATTCCAGAGGGCTGGGGTTCAGTGCCCAGAACCTACATGGTAACTAACTGTTTGTGACTCCAGTTCCAGGGTACCTGACACCCTCATACAAAACACCATGCAGGCAAAAACACCAATGCACATACATGAAAAGAATTTTTTAAAAATCTGGGAAACAACAATAGAGGTTTGACCTTTGATTTTATATTGGTTGTCATTAACAAAACTTTCCATTTAAATCAACATGTAAACAGTGGTCTATCTTTGCATTTATCCTTAGTTATGGCAGAATTAAACATATTAGCTGATTCCATTACTACAATTAAAGCAAAAGAAAAACATCCACTAAAGAGATCTAGAGAGCTGCCTTTTCATTAAAGACAATGGACCATAGACTCAGCGTCTCTCTTGTCTTATTCTAGGATTTTTTTCTTTGTGGTCAGTTCAGAATAAACCAATGGAATGAGCAAAGTTAGGTATAATGGGGGTCTTACTGAGTGCTTTTGGAGACAGATCATAATACGTCAGTGAGCTCAGACAGTGCCCACCTCTCCGCAGAACACCCATATTCCAGGTTTTCACAACAGGGTAAGTGTCCATATGTCCGGCTTTCTCTGACTACTTGGTGAATTCTTTTTTTTTTTTAAATATAATTTTTTATTGAAAAAAAGAGATTTCCGCCTCCTCCCCGCCTCCCTTTTCCCTCCCCGTCTCCCTTTTCCCCCCTCCTCCCTCTCCTCTCC